AAGCTGAGCCAGCTCGGTATAACGGCGTTCAAGACTGTGCCCAAGCCACACTATCTCAGGGAAGACCTGGATGATTTGAGAGTGGGCCTCAAGAACCAGTTCTGCAGAGCTAAACTGCGGGTATTCCGATAGCAATGATATACATGCCCGAGCTGATCCTAATCGTGATGTTGGATTACCTAGTGTCTCCACCGTTGCCTTCATCATTTGCTCCAGTGCTGCATCGAAGCGCATTTTGCTTGGTTTATGTACAAACAATGCCTTCAATGTGGACCCGAATCGCCAAAACCTGTCTGTTCGGTCGGCATGGCCTTCGGGTGTGAGATAGACACTGAGCTTGATTGCGACAATCGCTTCTTCCAGGTCGTGAAGCTCGCCGAGGCATTCAAAGCGGGATTGTAAAGAGAAGGCGAGGCTACTCAATGACCGTGGACGCTCGTCATCGCCTTCGGACATGAGATTGACGGCGAGCTTGTCTGCGGCGATCGCTTCTTCTAGGTCGCGAAGCTCGCCAAGGCGTTCAAAGCGAGACCGCAGACAACTGGCGAGGTTGCTCAATTGCCGTGGTCGGCTGGGATGACCTTCGGGCGAGAGATTGACAGCGAGCTTGTGTGCGGCAATCGCATCTTCCAGATCGCGAAGCTCTCCAAGGCATTCAAAGCGGGACCGCAGAGTATTGGCGAAATTGCCCAATTGCACTGGTCGGTCGGGATGACCTTCGGGTGTGAGAATGACAGCGAGCTTGGATACCGCAATCGCTTCTTCTAGGTCGCGGAGCCAGCCAAGGCATTGAAAGCGAGACCCCAGAGAACCAGCGAGGTTGCCCAATCGCACTGATCGGTCGGGATGGCCTTCGGGCGTGAGATCGACAGCGAGCTTGGATGCTGCAATCGCTTCTTCCAGGTCACGAAGCCAACCAATGTGTTCAAAGCGGGACAACAGAGAACAGGCGAGGTTGCTCAATCGCGATGGTCGGTCGGCATGGCCTTCGGGCGTAAGATCAACAGCGAGCCTATCTGCGGCAATCGCTTCTTCCAGGTCGCGACGCCAGCCGAGGCGTCCATAGAGAGACCACAGAGAACTAGCGAGGTTGCTCAGTCGCAATGGTCGATCGGGATGGCCTTCGGGCGTGAGATCGACAACGAGCTTGTCTGCGACAATCGCTTCTTGCAAATCGCGAAGCTCGCCGAGGCGTCCAAAGCGGGACCACAGAGAACCGGCGAGATTGCCTAATCGCGATGGTCGGTCGGGATGGCCTTCGGGGGTGAGATCGACAGCAAGCTTGGATGTCGCAACCGCTTCTTCCAGGTCGCGAAGCTCGCCGAGGCGTTTGAAGCGAGACCGCAGAGCATTAGCGAGGTTAGCGAGGTAAATAGGTCGAGCGTCCAGACCATCAGCTGCCAGCGTTATTGTAAGTCTGTGCGTTGTAATTGCTCTCTCGAGATCATGAAGCATGCCGACGGTTTCATAGCGTAGACGAAGACAAGTCGCAATGAAGTCGAGTCTCCAAGATCGACGGAGGCTGTCTTCGGCGGTGTGATCAAGAGCTCGTTCTTGAAGTGTGATCGCACGATCGATGTCATCCAACACTCCAAGATTCTCGAAGCGGCACCGTAGGCTACGTGCAAGGCCATCTGCAAGGTACGGCCAGTGTGTATGTCTCTCGTGCATGAGTTTGGCGGCTCCCTCTTGGGCATCGATCGCACTGTGGAGATCTTCAAGCTGATGCAAGCTCCTAAAACGCTCCATCAACGACCGTCCTAAAGAAACGAGGCGTAAAGCTTTGCGGTCGCGAGAACGAGCTTCTTGATTCGACACTTGATTCAATCGCGAGAACATCTCAGGAGCGGGCCCAGTTGGTGTAGAAGTGCCCTTGCGGGCTTTGTTTAGCCATCTACGCCAGCCAGAGCTCTGCCGGAGCATGGTCTATTCTAGGTGTCAGCCACTAGTGGAGGGTCGGTGGAACGCCGAAACTCACGCGCTAGGAGAACCAGATATTGTCGTGATGTCGTGGGAAGCGGGAGGAAAGGGAGAAGCCTGGGGGTTAGCCGTCGTGGTTCTTATACGGTTTGACATTGCTATTATGATTGAGACTTGGGGAGACTTGGTACGGCGCTGAGAGTGCCGAGGGGCTGGGAGGTCGCAGGCGCACTATTAAACTCGGGGCGCTTTACGCCTCAGGGGCTGACAGATCCTGCGATACTTCGGTCCCGGACTTTGTTGACTCGTGTAGTGATTTAAAAGATAAAATGAATGGTATCCTACCTCTGGCAACGCGCGCACCGTACTGGCGCAGCAAGGTCTTCCCATCGTGTGCGGAAACCGTTCTGGCCGTCTTGTTGCGGTAAATGGCGCCGCGTCCGGACTCGAGGTTGTGCAGCGCGAACACGAAGTGGTGTACTGAGATGGCTGTAGAGACACCGCTTCTGACCCCGCGAATGAAGAAGGCGGTGGCGAATTGTCAATGCTGGCAAATTCCTTCACATAGCCAGCTGCCCGAGAGTCGGGAGCACGGCACATCGACGACGGGCTCTATAGGGAGTGAATAGGAAGACTGCTACGTGGTACGCAGCACATGCACAGTAGTGGCAGCTTGTGGCAGCGCGAAGACGAGCGCTCGTTTGGGCACGCGTCTGCGGTTCCCGAATCCCGCCTGCTTCGCACGCGCGCGGCTTGCTTCCAACCACGACCTTCCTCGGATTCTCTAACCCCAGAAATCAAGCCAGCCCTGAAATACGGCAGATTCAAAAAATATGCTGCTAGCGCGATAGCCTATGCTGTAGCTCTGCCGTTATTCTCGACTGGAGCATGGTAGCCGCCGGGTTGACGCACATCATGAGTTGCATGTGGATGTAGCATATGCAGAGTAGTTGGCGTAGTTGGCATTGGCTGATGGTACGCTCCTCCTACTCGGCCTATCGCAAGGTCGCATGCACTGATGCGTTCATATGCAGGTAATATCTTGAATTCGATGATATTCATGCGCCAGTGTGGCTTCCTGACGCTCTCTGCAAGGACTGCTGCTGGCGGTTCCCGATATGTTTGTACCATGACACGCCGATATCAAATCATCTTGTGGAGGCCGGGCTGCTACATCCCCACCCTCTGTAGCAGACATTTGATATACATTGGGACGACGGTCCCACGCAACAACAAATCGAATGAACTGCATGCGGCGTTTGCGAACCAGAACTCGGCGTCGAGGCACAAGTGCTTGGAGGCGGGCCTTGCGATTATACTGGCGGGCGCGGCGGCGCGGATTCTTGAGTTCCCTTTCGTTGATCACGGTGTCGCGGTACGCATCCTACCGCGTCGTTTCTTACCTCTGTCTGATCGTTCTATGTATACAGGCGATGTGGGCCGCCGTATGCCGTGTGATGATCAACGAGATCATCACCGTGCGCTCCCTTTACCTCGATCCTTCAGTCCTAACTGTGCCCGTTCTGGGCGAAGCCGAGCTCCTTGCCGCGCTCGACGAGCTTCAAGTGGCGATGGCGCACTTCGCGCCTTCTTCTGCGCTTATGAGTGCGTGTCTCTCTCCCTGGTATGGGTTCGGGTGATGCTGACGTTGCGGTAGATTATCAGCTCGGGCGTATACAGCAGGAGCGGATCGCTGTATAGCTTGAACTTATCGACTTCGGACTCTAGCAACATTATTTGGCAGCTGGCTGGATACACGCATCTTCTTGTAGCTATCTACTTGTAATACGGACGATCGACGAATTGCTAATCACGGACTTGATTTTCAACACGACGGACGGTCCTGTCTGCCATGACATGCTGTGCTTTCAGTGCAGGAACTAATAAGGATATCCAGTCAGTCTCTGAGCGTTGCACTCGTGGCTCCCAGCAAGACCGTCAATTGCCTTGAATAACTACTACGTGGGCAAGCCAGCACTTCTCAGCGAAAGCACGCAAGGCGTATTGGTGGGCGGTGCCACTCGTGCGCGGCTCCGTGCACTAGCACTGTGTAGACCCAATGTTCCAGTTGTGTCGATAACTATAAATGAACACCTCTGGTTATTATTGGAGGGTTATTGGAGACCTTCTTGGAGGCAGAGATAGTGGCTGCAAAAAACGCATTGGGTTCAATGTAGTTCGGATACGGGGAATCGAACCCCGAGCTGCCGCGGGCTCTTACTAGTGAGAGGCGGCAATGTTAGCCGTTACACCATATCCGAATGCAAGTTTTAGCCCTCACAGTATTCAGATAGCCACGCAGAAGACTCTACTGGGCCACACAGATCCAAGAAGCACATGAAGTATTCAGATTCGGACGTTCGAACGTAGTATCATGCGATGCAGCGGCCAGTATGGCTACGCTGGGAGTGGGTTGTACCGGAGTCCGTGTTTCATTACCGCATTGATACAAATACACGTATGCTACAATGATGCGTTGCTGGGTCTGTTGTCGGGACTCGGCCTACGTCGGGTACGCCCCACCGTCAACATGGATCGTCTGCGCCGTGATGTATGACGAATCGCGGCTGGCACTATTCAACAAGGTCAGAGTCCTGACAGAGATCAAGAAGAGATACGAGAACGTACAGGAAGATGACAACCGCCGCGCACTCGATCGGCTGACCCGGTCGACCCATAGGCGTACTATCAACGCCCTTCATATTCTCCTCCGAGAACGTCGACGGGATAAGCGGCGTGATGATCGGCCCCGGCGCGATAGCATTGACCCTGATCCCCTTACTCCCGACAATCTGATTCGACAGCCCATTCGTAAACGCGACAATCGAGCCCTTCGTGCTCGTATAATCAAGCAGATCCGGGCGCCCGATATACGCGTTGATGCTCGCGTTGTTGATGATGCTCGAGCCGGGCTGCATGTGCGGGATGACGGCCTTGGCGAAGTAGAACATCGGGTGCATGTTCACCGCGAACGTGTCCTCCCACTGCTTCGAGTCGAGCGTGAGGACGTCGTGGTTCTCGAGCTGCTGCGCGGCGTTGTTGAACAGAATGTCGATGCGGCCGAAGACGCGCAGCGTCTCGTCGACGGCTTTGCGGCAGTTGGACTCGGACTTGATGTCGAGGGGGATGAGGTGCACTTTGCGCTGCCCGTTGGTCTTCTGCGCGACTTCGGCGCGCGTGTCTTCGGCGTCTTTTTGCTCGGCAGGGAGGTAGACGATGGCGCTGCAAGCGTTGTCAGCGGGATGGAAAGTAGGCGCGCACGGGACACGCACCTGTCTGCGCCCTCGAGTGCGGCGAGAATGACAAACGCACGGCCGATGCCGGAGTCGCCGCCGGTGGTGAGTGCGACCTTGCCCTCGAGCTTGCCAGCGGGCTTGTACGGCGTGCCATCGACGTAGACGTCATTCAGAGGCTCGGCTATGCGGATGTCAGCGATGGCATATTCCACAATAGCTGAAGCAACACGCACTCTGCATCTTATGCTGGTGACCCGGAGGCCGAGCGCCCTCGCCGCCCTGCTCGCGCTTCTCGGCAGCGGCGTCGGGCTTGAATCCTTTCTCGTACTGTTCAGGTTTGGAGGAAGACATGATGGAGATGATTGGATAAATGAGGTTCAATGCCAGACCGCTCAGCCGTTATATAGGGCCATGATAGAATATGCGGGCGAAGGAAGTGGAGAGACATGGCAGAGGTGCAAGAGGTGACGCAAGTGATGTTCGCGCTCCGCCAGCTGTGGCACCTTCGCTGGGGTTCGCGCGCATCTAGACCCGCATGCTCAGCACACTGGGACAGGAAAATGTAAAAATGGCAGCACGAGTATAGGAAGGAGTACGAATACTATATCGTCTACAGTGTCAGTGTGACCCAAAGACAGTGTGGCAAAACTAACTGCAAAAGAATATTGAAGCTCAGCTACTCCGGTACGGGGAATCGAACCCCGAGCTGCTGCGTGAAAGGCAGCCATGTTAGCCGTTACACCATACCGGATTGAAGAATACTTTACTGGCGCATAATACATACATAATGCTGTTCGAGTTACTGGGGAGGTCAGTACAGTCGCCTCGGCCTCTCATTATCTCTGAGTTGAAACCCATCCGTTCAAGCAAACCTGAAATAGGCACGGCGACTCCATCTCTCCACTATCTGATTGGATACGCCCCGGACGCGCCCAGAAAGTCCGAGAACGTCAGGAGCCACACCAGAACTTCGACCACCACTATCACGCTCTTCAGACCAAGACATCCATCGCTTGCCCGCTGCATCCCAACTACCCTATACTACGAGCATGGATATCGACGAGAACGTACAGACCGAGACGCGGGGCAACTACACGATCCTGCGTATCAAGCGCAAGCGTACAGATGAACCACTCGAAGCACTCGGTGCGTCACGCCCTATTCCAGTCCTGCTCTGCATCTCATCCCCGGCATCCAGTCGTCAACTCCAAGCGGCGAAAGTCCCGCGGTGGCGTTGATGTGTTCCAGTTCGCAGAGACCGTTGAAGGTGCGGCATGGGAGAACGAAGAGGAGAGGAAGGTCTTGCAGGTATGTGGCACTCCCTCTGTGAAGGTTATGATCATAATGATGCTGACGCATGTCCGCAGGAACGTGTATCTGCTCTTGCGCGCCAGCAATCAAAACGGCCCGAACAGCCTGCAGCGGGTAGCAAGCGTACAGATGCTGTCCTGTCGCCGCCCGTCGACGTACGACCGCCGAAATCCGCACGACACTACCGGATTCTACCCCAACTCCACGAGCAGGCGAATGCACCGTATGTACCCATCGTCTTTCACACATCGCTCGCAACCTGACATGCCTATAGTCCGAAAGTACAATCCTCCAAGGACGTCTCTCGCGCGCAAGCCTTCAAGATGTACGACGCCGTCCTCGAGACCGAAACCGCGCAAACCCCCGCGCCCGAAGACGACCCCGAAATGGAAAAATTCCAGTCCCTCCTCCAAGACTACCTGAAAGTGCACGACATCGACCCGTCCGCCTCCTCCCCGTCCACCTCATCCGCCGGTGGCGTGCCCATCGCGGCACCCGCACCGCTCCCACCCACCGACGACCCCGATTACGTCTGGGACGTCTTCTACCACCGTGCGGGGCTGATGGACGATCTCGAGGAGCTGCCGGCTGTCAATGTTGGCACTCTAACTGGGCTGCCGGGGAATTTTGATGCTGGGGATTCGGATGACGAGGAGAGCGTTGAGGGTGACGAGGCTGATGAGGACTCCAACGGTGCGTCTACTTTCTCCACCGTCTGCTTGACATTCCACGCACGTTCGCACGTCATGCCCGGTTCATTGACTCGACTCGTATGTCTAGATGAGGGCTTTTACAGGAACGATTACCCCGACGAGGGAGATGATTCGGACTACGAGTCTGAAGGGAGCGGTGAGTCGACTCGGCTTTACCACGCGTCATGCAGTTGCCCGATTCGAAGGGCGTTCGTCGCCTGGACCTGTCTGTGTCACCCCTGCGCGCCTGACCGGAACTGACCTCCTTCCCACAGACGTCTTCCATGACGGCTCCTCAGCAGAGGACGTCTCTGCCGATCTCGATTTCAACCGTGGGTACCGCTAGAAGAAGCAGACAGAAGGGGTGAAAGCGTGTTCTAGTCTCAACAAGACCCCACCGTACCGCTGATCGCTGTCAATCTCCAGGACTCCATAGTACTCAGATTTGTACTTACGCTATACTGTTGAAGAAATGCCATGAATTCGAAGCCCGCTTCTCGCCTTCTCCCGCACCGCCGGCTTCCCTGCACATGTCATTCCGCAAACTCCGAGGCCTATCCTCCCCGGCCCGCCAACGCCCTACCATATCCGGCTCGTCTTTCCTCGACGCCGCGAGGAATGACGCCGCGCGCACCTCGAACCGTCGCGATGCGCCCACGATAGCTTGCTTCGGACGCGCATTGTCGACATGGCACGATGCGCGTACCTGCCGCGCATGCTGCGATCCTTGGTCGGCTTGAGAAACGGTGCTCTGTGTTCGTAATTCGTAAGGCCGCTTTTTGGCTAGACTTACTCTAGACGGGCTTGATGAGAGGTTATACACCTTCTTGCTGACCCCAGTCAGCCCGACGACGGCCCAACAGCGCCCTCTAACAGCCCATCCGACACTGACGTGCCAGACCTAACGGTTTGCACAGTCGCGCAAACGTTACCTCAGCCTCTCGGGCCTGCACCGACGTGATAGGCGCCGCCAAGGCCGAACACACCACGATGTGCAGGTCACCCTTTGACTCTTCCGTCAACGAACTCGCAGCCTGACCGTTGACGCGCGAGGTGTAAGATGCTACTGTAAGATCCGGACAGCCTTTGCTGCAATTGTCCGCTGGGGAGAAACACGAACGGTCACGCGGTCCGCTTGATAGGGGCGCCAGTACATATAGGGTGACGCCCGTCCCTAAAGTCGCTCTCATCCGCATTACCCGCCATCGGGGTACACACGCGCGTGTACATACGAAGGATTCGTCGGAACTGCTATGGGCGTCATCGTCGATCTGCTCGGGCGTCTCGACGCCGCGACTGCTGCCGCGCTCGTCGTGCTGGGGGTTGTTGTGGCGCATGTTGTGCCGTGGGCGGTGGATGGGCGGGGCTTGAGAGCGTACCCTGGGCCGTGGCTGGCGCAGTTCTCGGATCTGTGGCTGGCGTGGACGGCGTCGCACGGGCATCGGTGCGAGACGGTGCACGAGCTGCACAACAAGTACGGTACGCCGTCCCCTCCGTCTTCACCTCATTCGTGCACTGAGACATGATGTATGATGGTGCACTGGCAGGCCCCTTCGTGCGCATCGCGCCCAACCACATCTCCGTCGCCGCGCGCGACGCGATCCCCACAATCTACGCGCACGGCTCGAACCTCATGAAGTCCAACTTCTACGACGTCTTCGTGACCATTATGCCCGGGCTGTTCAACACGCGCGACCGTGCGGCGCACGCGCGCAAGCGGCGGCTCGTCGCGCACGTTTTCTCGATGCGGAGCGTGCAGGCGTACCAGCCGCTCGTGCTGTCGCATCTGCATGTGCTGTTGGACAAGTGGGATGCGCTGTGTGCGAAGGGGCGGGGGGATGCGAGGGGCGTTGAGGGGGATAGTAAGTGGCGCGGGGCTGACGGACGGGTGTGGTTTGATTGTTTCCCATGTAAGACGTCGTTCTGCGGGTGTCGAGGTGTCTCCCTATCTCTACTGACGATCGAGATGTCTGTATCAGGGTTCAGCTATCTCTCGTTCGACATCATCGGAGATCTATGCTTCGGCGAGCCGTTCGGGATGCTCGAAGCGGGCAAGGACGCCGCGCCTGTTGTGGAAGATACGAAAGCCGGGCTGGCGTTATACGGCGAGAAGGCGCCCGCAGAGGTGAAATACCACATCCCAGCCGTCCGCGTCTTGCACAAGCGCGGCGCACATACGGCATCTGTGGGCGTATTGCGTCCCTTCTGGCGTATGGTGATCAATCGCGCGTTGCCGTGGTACAATCAAGGGTACCAGGCGTCGCAGGATCTTACGCGGATGGCTATTGCTGCTGTTGCGCGACGCATTGCTGCGCCCGCGCCGGATAGGGTGGATATATTGAGCAAGTTGCAGGAGGGCGTGGACGATAATGGGAGGCCGATTAGTAGCGAGGAGTTGACTGCCGAAGCGCAGACGTTGATGCTCGTGCGTTCCTTACCCACCTCGCATTGACTGTGCAGTACGCTAACAAGTCACCAGGCCGGTTCCGATACCACCGCAAAGTGCGTTAAACTCGTTGTCAGTTGAGATTGAGGTATTTTTGCTGAATCCTTGCCCTAGCACACTCGCGGCGGTGATCTACTACCTCGCAGGCCACCCCGAATGCATGCGCAAATTACAGCGGGAACTGGACGATGCCCTCGCGACCGAAGCCGAGCCGGTGCCCCTCTACGACTCGATCAAGGCCCTGCCCTACCTCGAGGCAGTAGTGAGCGAGACGATGCGTCTTCATTCCGCGCTGGGACAAGGGCTTGAGCGAGTTGTGCCAGAGGACGGGCTCGAAGTCCTCGGGCGCACTTTCGCGCCGGGCACGGTTCTGAGCGTCCCCTCGTACGACGTGCACCTCGATACGTCCGTGTGGGGTAAGGATGCCGCGGCGTTCAGGCCTGAGCGGTGGTTCGAGGTAGAGTCGGGCGTGGCGAGCAAGTCGTTCTTGCCCTTCTCGTTCGGCCCGCGCGCGTGCATTGGGCGCAATCTCGCGCTGATGGATATTCCGGTGATCGTCGCGACTGTCGTGCGGAGGTACGACTTTGTGCTGGAGGACGCGTCGAAGCCCGACGTGCTTCCTGTGCAGGAGGGGTTCTTGAGGAAGCCTGAGCATTGTCGGGTGGGTGTGAAGGTGCGGGAAGCCGTAGGGGAGCAGGTGTGAACTTTTTCGTTCAAGACGTACGATTTGGCATTTTCAAGCTCGTGATCCGGACTACGTATCAAACACATCCTCGAGCACGCAACTAATCCCTCGCATGTATGTAACATCTAGTAGACTATACCGCACTGCTTGCTTGAAGTTGAATCTGCAAACGCTCATCTGCTTGTGTGTGGCGACATCTATATTTATATCTACGTCATGGTGATTGCGGATACCGCGCGGACATTGGCAGGCCGATGATGGGCCGAAGCCAGCAGCCGGAACAAGGTTATCGAACCGGACCGGTACCCTGATGCAGCTCGAGCGCCCACCACCACGACCTGCATCTCCGAGCTGCACCGATCCCATGGGTACACATATAACGCGCTCGACGGAAGCCCAATGGCCGGAATACCTTACCCGCACATTCCTCCTTCCAACCTTTCTTGACTTACGACCCCGCTCGGCATGGCCTCTACGGACGTCGTACAGGGCTCGAGCACGACCAACATCATCATGACCGCGACGACTCCGCCTGCTGATCTCGCTTCCCGCACTCCCACTCTCGCTGGCGATCACGATCACCAACTCTCGCGGAGCGCTGAGGCTTCAGAGTTGCCGCTCGCGGATGTAAAGCTTGCCGCTGTGGAACCGCCGCTCGATATCGAGCATGTCCTGGTCCAGGACGACCCGAGGAAATGGTCCCCGTTTAGAAAGGTGCGCGTTGATTGCCGGAATGCCGGGCTCCGGTGACTCAACTTCGGCCTAGAACCTGTCTTTGTTTATCATATCGAGTGCGGCGTTCATTGCGGGGCTGGCTGCGAACATCTATAATCGTGCGTGCATGTTTGGTCGTGTGCTACCATTCAGAGAGTGACAGCGGTCATACAGCGGGTATCAATGACATCGAACGTGAACTTCACGCCACAAGTGGCGATATCAGTCTATCGCTAGCGCTCTTTATCCTGATGCAAGGCGTACTGCCATTATTCTGGAGCGTAGCGAGCGAGATCAAAGGTCGAAAGGTATGTCCATCCTACTCTCGTCGTATTGCACCACTCACATCCCACGCCAGCTCGTCTACATCATCTCAATCGCCATCGCCATGATAGGCGCGCTCGTCGCGGCACTCGCAAAATCAATAGGCGTCCTCATCGGCATGCGCTGCTTCCAGGGCCTCGGCTCCTCCGCCGTCCTCGCCATCGGCGCCGCGACCCTCGCCGACATCTACGACCCAGCAGAACGCGGCGCCAAGATGGGCATCTACTACGCCGCTCCCCTCCTCGGACCGAGTCTGGGCCCTATCCTGGGCGGCATACTCACGCAGTACCTCTCCTGGCGCGCGACGTTCTGGTTCTTGTTCATCTGGATGGGTCTTTGCGAGGCGATGTTCTTGTTCTTGTTTAAGGACACGTACCGCAAGGAGCGCAGTTTGACGTACCAGTCCGTTCTGCGTCGCCATGAGCGCGAGCGATTGCGGCTGCTTGCTGCGTCGAAGCGATCCAGTATGGTCACCGTGTACGACAGGACACCGCCTCTCACGGAGAAGACGTCGGACGAGAAGCAGCCTGCTACGGCGCAGGTCTCGCCGAACATCGACGTCGAGGCGGGCGGTATTGAGACTCCGCCTGAAACTGCGCCAGAAGTGAAGGTTACACTGGCCGATATCAACCCCATTCCGCCGCTGTGGAAGATCTTGAGGCGATGGAACAATCTCCTCATCTTGACGTCGTCGGGTACGCTTTCCCCGTGCCTAGTCGTTTCAATGGCACATCAGACTTATTCGATGTTTACACAGGTCTCATCTTCGGCTTCAGCTACTGCATCAGCTACACCTGTGCACGTACTCTAGAGGACGACTACGGGTACAACGCCCTAGACACAGGCTTTGTCCTTCTCGCATACGGCATCGGCAGTATGGGCGGCAGCATCCTCGGCGGTCGCTGGTCCGACCGTGTGCTCGCAAAAGCCACGGCGCAAGGCAACCGTTCTCCCGAGGTTCGTCGCTCTGACTACTTATCACGTTTCACTGACTTATCCCCACTCGTCTAGACACGCCTTGTGAGCACGAAGATCGCGCTTGTATTCTTTCCGCTGCCCGTAATGGCGTACGGCTGGCTAGCGCAATTCCAAATCCACATCGCAGCGATCTGCACCGCGCTTTTCTTCGCAGGCTTCTTCTCCATGTACGTTCCACCTCCTCCTCCCTCAACTTCCAAAAAGACTAACGAGTTCATTCTCCTCCCCAGATGGATCTACTCGAGCACCCTAGCCTACATCGTCGACGCCAACAACGGCCGCTCCTCCTCCGCCGTCGCAACAAACTCATTCTTCCGCGGCGTCATGGCCTGCATCTTCGCCGAAGTCGCCGTGCCGCTCCAGAACTCGCTCAAGGACGGCGGGTTGTATAGTTTGTGGACCGGTCTGGTGTTGATCTGTGAGGCTCTGTTGTTGCTGGTGCTGTATCGTGGGCGGAGGTGGAGGGAGGCGGCGGAGAAGCGGGAGGCGCATCACTGATTTGTATTTTTGGTGCAGGGGACGATGGACAGTGCTACGATACCTTTTTCTGACATACCACTACTTATTGTATCCTGAGCACTCTTAGACATAGAGCTCTATTCATACACGTTGTTACGAGAAACCTCGCCTTGATCGGGCAGTGAACGATATGCATGGCTATGAAAAATACATTGTATACGTGGACAGAACAGTCGTGCGAAAGCTTCGGAACGATCTCGCCTTCGGCAGATCCCTATCGCAGTAGAGCGCTCACACGAGCGCCCGACGCATTCGCGATACCAGATATTCGCTGGAGTGCGTCCAATAAGACTGGGAGTGTCAACCCAGGACCGTCCTCGAATCCTAGGGCAGCTGCCTGCGCATCCAATCCTTCGCGAGCTTGAGCAGCTTCCCGAGTAGTGCTGTGCGTCTTGGCTTGAAGTAAGGCGAACTCATGCTCTAGCATGTCTAGAGAGTCCTTGGTTGGAGATGTCAGGCCGAACACTGTGTCCAATAGGTCCGTTAGACGACGTTCACGGCGTTCTGTGACGGCAATGCAAGATTTGTACGTTGCCAGAGAGCGTTCCAGATCCGGCATTTGCGATGCTTCCTGTTGCAAGAGCCTCTCACGTTCTTGAGCCTCATCGCGCTCGGCAATGAGACGGCGAATCTTGATAGGGAGAAGCTGTTCGTCGTCGTCGTCGTCGTCGTCCACTGTCTCTCGTGGACGCTTGCGCGAGAGACCAGGAAGATCCTCCAGTACATTCTTTGGTAGCGGCGGGGGAAGGAGGGAGGGCACATCGTCTACCCGAGTAGACTCAGTAGACATGTTAATGTCGTAGTTCATCAGAGTAGGGGAAGATGGTTCTCTTTTCACACGGGGTGAATCCGGGGGACGGTAAGGCGTGCGGTCAGAGCGTTGCCTGGAAGGTGATGGATAGCCGGAGGGCAACGCGTCACGGAAGAGAGCAGAGGTATGCGGGTCCACGGTGTGCCTGTCTACAACGAAGTCCCGTAGACCCTTGTCGAGTGGATGGTTGTGCAAGGAGACGACGTAGGGCGGGAGGAGGTAGCTATGGAGAGAGGAGTCGTGGCTCAGCGAGGATAAGAGGGAGATGAGCGGGATGGAGCGTACAATGCCATGCAAGAGCTGTATGTTTGTCTCAGCAGATATCAGTCTCGAGTTGACGGATGACGCACATTGAACGCTCTGCGAGAGCTTCTGGTCTCACTCTCGCGAAAAAGCTTATGAAGTAGTCCACTAGTGGACGCATCTATTGGATCTCTCAGCACCAACATCGACGCACATGACCATCCATGTTCTGTGACCTCGCACCTTATACGCCGGCCAGACAAGATCAACAGCCCCAGCCAACTGCGAGCTAAAATGCGCATTCCCCGTCTTGGGAGATGCAGTTCCCATTTTTACGGCCGTAAGGTCCTCGCGGACTTCCCTCAGCAAGTTGGCGGGCACCTCGACCGCGCCAGACTGTCGAGGGAAGCGCGCGGCCTTGCTACCGGCGTACTGGACTCGCAAGCCGATGGTCACCCCATCAGGCCAGTCCGGATGCGGTGGGAAATTCAACGAGGGCTTCTTGTAGGGTTTGCTGGTCGACCTTCGCCTGTCGTTGCTGTATGAGGGGACGTATGAGGACATCGGCGAGGCGATGGGCGCTGGCGCCATGGGTGTAGGAAACAAGAATGCGTTCCGCGCCTGTTCTCGCCCTTCGCCAGCCTTCGCCACTACAGTTACTGCGCATAAGTCCGATCAATCGTGAGCTTCCTGATTTGATCGGTCGCCACTCGCGATGCGACTCGCTCTTCACCGCCATCACCGCCACACCCTATCGAGATATCTGGACCGGACGTCATAGGTACTCTTGCTTAGTCTGCGGCTTGGTCCATCATGCGTCGCGCACCTCCGAGGACCTTTGCGGATACGAAGTTGTGAGTTGTTTGGAAGTACCGCGCCGACGACGGGTCGTGATGTACCTGTACAGCGCCAAAAATGTGATCCAGAAGATGTCCGAGGACAAGTTCCAGGCTGCGAGGGCGGCTATGCTAGAACCTGAGCCTGTCTGTCTATACTTAGTGTCAGTCTTCTCTGCTCGGGCTGATTGCAATGCAGGCGTCTCTGGATTGGGCCGCAAACCGTGCCCGTCATCTACGCGAGGTTATCTGCAGAGAACCGCGCAAAGCTCCAGCAATGCTTCGCGAGATGCACAAAAAGCGACGGATGGACCGCAAGGAGAACGACGTCTTCGGCTTTCTAGCAGTCTTCATAGCACCTCTTGTCTCTAAGAAGGGTGTAGAGCCCGTTCCCGCCGAGATCTGGCTTCAACTCCTCGCGGCGAACTTCGACAGCGCCATCGTGGACATCTTTCTAGACGACACACTCTATACCGGTCGGTCTGAGCTACACCAGGTCTTTCAGCACTACCACCTTGCTACTCTTCCCCATGCTTAACGACTCTCCAGCTGTACATCTCCATGGCCTTCTTCGCCCTCACGGAGTCGTTGCATATAGTCACCAACATTCTCATGAGGTTCGCGGAAAGGAAGGAAGACAAGCGTATCGTCGATGCTACTTGCAAGCGCTTCTTGCAGAGCTTGGAACCTCTCACCGGCGCCATGTGGAAGCACCGAGACGACTTGCTCACGCATCATCTCGCGTTCACTAGCCGTAACATCCAAGAATCCTTTGGGAGCTTTGTCGGTCCGATACTGGGCGTCATCAACCATCTGTCCGTGATCGTTCCCCATACATGCACTCCATTGTATCTCTGACTATTCTCGGTACAGGTCCAAACAGTCCCTCGACCCATACGCAAAGACAGACCCACGCGAAACAATCGCCACCTCGCACTTCCTCCACATGTGTCTCTGGTGTTGGCAGAATGACCACGGCGAAATGCTCCTCCTGATGCAATCCTCGCACCTCGCCCTATACTGGACCGCAATCGACATGTGGATCACCGACCGGGGCAAGTTCAAAGAAGACCTGCTCGAGCTCATTCAGCCCACGATCCTCGAAGCGCTTGGAACGGACGGATGGATAGAGTGCTTGCGCCGCGATTTGCAGCCGGATGTTGCGCCCACGACGCAGATGCCTGCGCTTAAGGTTCATAATACGCTTAGTGACTACCCTGAGTGTGAGATTTGGAAGGCGATGGTTGATGCACGGCTTTACCGCGATGTTCTCGGTGTCATGCAACCATCAACACAGACGAATTCTGCGATGTTCGCTGAGTTCATGCGGTTGACTCATACTGCTATCCGGTGCGTGCCATGCCGTTTTATCCGCTGGCAACGTCTGTTCTAAGCGTGCCATTACCAGATGCACGATCAATAAGGACGTCGACGGTCGGAAGGTCCTCGTCTCTGAAGATTTATTGGTGGACATCGTGGACGATCCGAACTTCGTTACTCTCATTGTCGAGACATTGCTGAACTTCCCTCAATCCACTCCTCCAATAGCGCATTGGCCGAGCTTCATTCCCTCAGGTAAGATGGTATATGCGTCCAGCGAGAATGTACATCAGGACTCATCGCGCTTCGCAGAGTCATGCGCCGACCTACTCCTAGCATACTCCCTCGCGCACACCCACCTCCTCAAAACCTCCCCAGACCGCGCCACCCTCCTCCGCACGCGCATCCGCCCATCCTGGTATCGCATCCTCCAAGCCCTCCGCCCCCTCCCCAACGTCTCCAAATCCCTCCAATCCTGGCTCCAATTCGGGCGCGACATGAACTTCACCGAGTCCGAAGAACGCGCGATCTTCCAGCGCGACACGAAGGACGGGCGCAGGAACTGCGACTGGCGCGGCTGTGCGTTCTATGTGGTGGTGCCGGAGAAGGCGCTGAAGGCGTGTAAGGGGTGTAATCGGGCGTATTATTGTGGGGCTGTTTGTCAGAGAAGGTATGCGATGTTCGATCTGGTTGAGTTGGAGCGCTGCTGATGCGAGATAGGGATTGGAAGGACGGAGGGCATAAGAAGAATTGTAGGACAGTTAAGGATTGAGGTGTACATCATTGTATCATGTATCACTGACTCAGAGAGCCCCTGAATGTATCGTCGGACCGGGGCGCGGCGTCATGACAGCCATCGACAGTGAATCCGTTCGGCAGTCGGGTTTCCCAACCTGCACGCGGGCCATGGGCGCCTTCGCATGACGTGCATTCCCTGCCGGCGTCAATCCATCTTGGCACCGGTTCTCATCTCAGCTATATCTCTTGCCTTTGGTAGTTCTCATCGAACGCGCGCGCCACGAATGGTACTTATGAATGGTCATCGCGTAAGCCTATGAGTAGGCACAAAGGCTGCGAAAAAGCTTATCATCGCAGTACAGAGTGTTAGAAGAAGTGTGTACACTATATGTATATCCGCAATGAAAGGTATAATGGTCCAATGGATCCAGGGCGTAGAAGAGTGGCGAGGATAGGAAGAAAGCACGAAGCGAAGCTACCGCCGTCCCAGCAGTAGCATGACCGCGTCGCTCAGACTCCTACCCACCGGTCTGCTGGAGGTGGGTCGGCTACTAGGGCGGCGGGATAGAGAGGACAGGAATGGGTAGTGATAGTCCTTTCTGTCGCAGTTCTACAAAGAAGAAAGAGCCTGTGAGCTAGATTCTGGAAAGGCACATTAAGCCGACAAAGACCCGCACTTCAAGCTTCAAGACCCAACCTCCACCAGAATCGAGCTCGGGGTTCGATTCCCCGTATCCGAACTGGCCAATATGTGTTTGGTTTTTCGCAGCCACTATCCCTGCGACCAAGGAGAAGGTCTCCCATCCACTATAATAGCCGGAGGTTGATATGGTTGATTTGCTAATGGCACACCTGGAATATTGGGATTCTACAGTGCTGGTGCACGGAGCCGCGCACGAGCGGCACTACCCACTAGTACTAGTACGCCTTGCGTGCTTTTGCTGAGGGGTGCCGGCTTGTCCACGTAGTAGTTATTCAAGGCAATTGGCGGTCTTGCTGGGAGTCACGATTGCAACGCTCAGAGACCGACTGGACATCCTTATTAGTTCCTGCAGTGGAAGCACAGCATATCATGGCAAACACCGTCTCAGCCAGCGGATACGTCGGGTTGAGAATAAAGTCCGTGATTAGCAATTACTCAATCGTCCGGATTATAAGTAGATGGCTACAATAAAATGCAGGTATCCAGTCAGCTAACAAAGAATGTTGCTAAAGTCCGAAGTTGATACGTGAGTGCGAGCTATACAGCGATCCGCTTCTGCTGTATGCGCCCGAGCTGATAATCTACCGCGATATCAACATCAGTCGAAACTATACCGAATGAAGGCACGTACCTTATGAGCGCAGAAAAAGGCGCGAAGTGAGCCATGGCCACTTGAAGCTCGTCGAGTGCGACAAGGAGCTCGGCTTCGCCCAGAACGGGCACAGTGAGGACTGACGGGTCGAGGTCAAGGGAGCGCACGGTGATGATCTAGTTAATCATCACACGACATACAGCAGCCCACATCGCCTGTATACATAGGACGGTCAGATCTAGCCGGGAAAGCATACAGCATAATGCGTACCGCGACAGCATGGTCGACGAAAGGAAACTCAAGAATCCGCGCCGCCGCGCCCGCCCGTATAATCGCAAGCCCCGCCTCCAGACACTTATGTCTCGACGCCGATTTCTGGTTCGCGAACGCCGCATGCAGCTGCATCGTCACACTCTGCGCAATATAAGGCGACGCATGCAGATACGCGACCGCGTCTGCTCATTCGACTTGCTGTTGCATGAGACCGTCGTCCCAATGTATATCAAATGTCTGCTACAGAGCGTGGGGAGGTAGCAGCCCGGCCTCCGCAAGATGATTTAATATATCGGCGTGTCATGGCACAAACATATCGGGAGCCGCCAGCAGCAGTCCTTGCAGAGAGCGTCAGGAAGCCGCACTGGCGCATGAATATCATCGAATTCAAGATATTGCCTGCATATGAACGCATCAGTGCATGCAACCTTGCGATAGGCCGAGTAGGAGGAGCGTACCATCAGCCAATGCCAACTATGTACGCCATCTACATGCGACTCATGATGTGTGTCGACCCGGCGGCTGCCATGCTCCAGTCGAGGATAACGTCAGAGCTACAGCATAGGCTATCGCGCTAGCAGCATGTTTTTTTGAATCTGCCGTATCTCAGGGCTGGCTTAATTTCTTGGGTTAGAGAATCCGAGGAAGGTCGTGGTTGGAAGCAAGCCGCACGCGTGCGAAGCAGGCGGGAAGTGCAGACGCGCGCCCAAACGAGCGCTCGTCTTCGCGCTGCCACTATGCATGTGCTACATACCACGACGTACATATCAGTCTTCCTCATTACTCAGAATAAGCTCACCGCCAATGGGCTGTGCTTCTGGCCTTCGGGCTACTGGCTATGTGAAGGAACCGCTTGCACCCGCAATTCGCCACCGCCGTCTTCATTCGCAGGGTCAGGAGCGGTGTCTACAGCCATTTCAGAACACTACCTCATGTCTGAGCTGCGCTGCGCGCAACCTCGAGGCCGGAGGCGGTACCATTAACTGTGACAAGACTCTCAGAATGGCTTACGCGGACGATGGGAAGGCCGTGTAACGTTGTTATTGAGTACGGTAAGCGCATTACCAGAAGCTGACTTTTATTCATTATGACTTTTCAATCACTTCCAGGTATTTACAGGCTTCGGGGCTGAGGATCCGTTAGCCCTGAGGCCTGGGGCGTAAAGCGCCCCGGGAAGCACAGCGCGCCTATCGCCTTTCAGCGCTCTCAGCGCCGTGCCTCGCCCCGCGAGGATCAATATCAATGCCGCACCGTATAAGGACCACGACATTCGGTCCCCGAAGCTTTCCCCTTTCCCCCCCACTTCCACGAAACCACGACTATATCTCCTCATTCCAGCGCGTGAGTCTCGGCGTTCGCCGGCCTCCACTTGTGGCTGACGCTTAGAATAGACCATGCCGCGACAGCGCTTTGGCTGGCGTGGATGGCTCAACAAAGTTTGCAAGCGCACTGCTATACCAACTGGGACCGCTCCTGAGATCCTGTCGCGATCGGATCAAGCGTCGAACCAAGAAACGAGTTATCGCGGCGACGAAGCTTTGCGCCTCGCTACTTCAGGACGGTCGTTACTGGAGCGTTGGGAGACCTCGCATAAGCTTGAAGATCTCCATAGTGCGATCGATGCGCAGGAGCGAGCTGCCGAGCTCATACATGAGGGACATCCACGCTGGCTATATCTTGCAGATAACCTTGCACATAGCCTACGGCACCGTTTCGTGAACCTTGGCACGTTATGTGATATAGACCGAGCAATTGTACTCCAAGAACGTGCCCTTGAGCTTACTGCCGAAGAGAACTCCGATCGGTCGTGGAGGCTCGACTGCCATGCGACTTGTCTTTGTCTACGCTACGAGACTGTCGGCACGCTTCGTGATCTCGAGAGAGCAATCACAACACAGAGACTTGCACTCACGCTGGCAGCTGATACTTCGGACGCTCGACCTAGTTACCTCGGCAACCTCGCCAGTTATCTGCGGTCCCGCTTTGCCCGCCTCGGCGAGCTTCGCGACCTAGAAGAAGCGATTGCCGCAGACAGGCTCGCCATCGATCTCACGCCCGAAGGCCATCCCCACCGACCACCACTATTAAGCAACCTCGCCCTTTTTCTGCGGTGCCGCTTTCAATGCCTCGGCAAGCTTTGTGACCTGGAAGAAGCGATTGCCGCACACAAGGTTGCCGTCGATCTCACGCCCGAAGGCCATCCAGACCGACCACGGCGATTGAGCGACCTCGCCGGTTCTCTGTGGTCCCGCTTTGAAGGCCTCGGCGAGCTTCGTGACCTGGAAGAAGCGATTGCTGTATTCAAGCTCGCTGTTGATCTCACACCCAAAGGCCATCCCGGGCGACCATGGCGATTGAGCAGCCTCGCCATCTCTCTGCAGTCCCGCTTTCAACGCCTCGGCGAGCTTCGTGACCTGGAAGGAGCGATCGCCGCACACAAGCTCGCTGTCGATCTCACGCCCGAAGGCCATCCCGGCCGAACACACAGGTTATGGCAGTTGGGGATCTCAATGAAGGCATTGTTTGCGATGAAACCAAGCAAAATGCGCTTTGACGCAGCGCTCGAGCAAATGATGAAGGCAACGGTACAGACACTTGGCAATCCAGCATCACGATTGGGATCGGCTCAGGCATGTATATCATTACTATCGGAATACCCGCAGTTCAGCTCTGCAGAACTGGTGCTTGAGGCCCACGCGAAGATCATCCAGATCTTTCCTGAGATCGTGTGGCTTGGGCACAGTCTCGAGCGCCGATATAGCGAAGTGGCTCCGCTGGGAAATGAGGTCAACTCTGCAATCGCAGCTTTCATCAGGTTGCACTCTAGATACCAGGCTATTGAGTGGATGGAAGCTGGAAGATCTCTCGTCTGGTCGCAGATGTTCTCTTTGCGCCAGCCCTTGGAGGATTTGGAAAGGGTACACCCAAAACTAGCCTCGAATCTGCGGCAGATCTCGTTGTCGCTCCAGCACTCGGATAGCTCATCTCAGCCCACGCCGGCACAGTTTCGCCACGGTAGTGAACACCCTGGCCCAGTAGTTGCCGACACTGCTCACGGTATGACTACAACTGCCGATGAAGGAGCCGCACCTTCTTCGGTAGACCGTCGCAGACAATTGGCCATCGACTATGACGATCTTCTGAGAAACATTCGCCGCCAAGAGGGATTTGAAGACTTCCTGCATCCCGCGAAGATCAATAGTCTACTTACATCCATCGAATACCTTGACGGGCCCGTCGTTTTCATCAACGTGCACTCGTCTTCTTGCGATGCCCTTGTACTCTTTCCGAATGGCGGGATTGAGCATATAGGGTTACCCAAGCTCAGCGAGAGCCAGGCGCAGGGATTACGCTCGACCTGGACCGAGTTTCTACGGTCATCTGGGCTGCGCGTGCGCGGTGTTATACCGGCTGGCAGGCTCGCAAAGGGTCATGTGAATATGTTAGGCGCTGTCCTTGAAGAACTCTGGACGTGTATTGTGAGCCCTATTCTCGAAGCACTGCACTTCGTGCGTCTTTTTGTCCTGTTACCCCGTTGTTTGTCTCTCATGGGATGTTTACAGATAGTCGATACACCTGCCGCTGAGCACGAACTTCCTCACATCACCTGGTGTGCGACTGGGCCATTAACGCAATTACCTCTCCATGCCGCGGGCATCTACGACCATCCGCAAAGCCTTACGCACACATACGATTTCGTGGTTTCATCATATACGCCGTCTCTTTCGGCACTCTTGCGCTGCCATAGACAACCAGGAACCCACAAGCAGATCCGCCCGAACGTGTTAATCGTCGCACAGCCCGACACTCCTAAGTACACCTCTTTGCCTCACACAAAAGCCGAGTGTGACCGACTACGCGCCGCCATGTCGGAACGAGCGTACACCCTCAACTCCCTGGTGCACGAGCAGGGGACCGTAGCAAACGCTCTTCACGGTATCGGACATCATCACTGGGTGCATCTCGCATGTCATGGGAAGCAGAGTGCGGGTAGCCCAACGCAGAGTGCATTCGTGCTGTACGACGGCCAGCTGACGTTGGCCGCGCTGATGGGCACGGTTGCAGAGAATGCGGAGCTCGCGTTCCTCTCTGCATGCCAGACCGCCGTCGGCGACGAGAAGATCCCCGAGGAATCTGCCCACCTTGCGGCGGGAATGCTAGCAGTAGGCTTCAAGGGCGTCGTCGGAACGATGTGGTCTATCTGGGACGCCGACGCGCCGATCATCGTGGAGGCGTATTATGGACGGCTTCACAAGTTGCGGAATTCCGGAAGAGATGGTGATATCGCTCCAGGATATACGGGAGCAGCGTATGCGCTGCATGATGCGGTCAAGGTTTTGAGGGAGCGTGTGGGCGAACAGAGCTTCATGCAATGGGCTCCATTCGTGCATTTCGGTGTTTGATTGGTCTCGTTGATTACCCCATTGGGCTCTACTATATCTCGTATTCCTTTACAACATGGACTCTCCATGACGTCGCCGACGCCGTCGCCGTCACCCTGCTCCTTTGACAATCGCATTTCGCTCCCGTATACCTACCGTGCCCACACACTAACGTCTGCCATGTGTTTTCATTCTGTGCGACATACATTGGCACGATGACCGCCCCGCAGCTTCAGCAGAGCATATCGAGTGGGTTTTCTGCCTGAACATGGACAGTATACCATGACGGTCGAGGGTACAGAATCGGGTGCAGGAATGTCGAATCAGGCAGACATCTCTACAGATGGAAGACGTCAGTATCGACCATTGAACACATTATAGGGTAAGCGTACCGTTCACAGACTATATCCCGCTCCTATACATCCGCATCTCCAGTCGTAGCCACGAGCCCAGGCAGATGCAATAGGTGGGTACTACGTAAATTGGCACGGCGACTCATCGTCAGGAGAACGTCAGTGCAGGAGGTAGTGTGTCCATGTCTTGAAGAAGGCTGAGCATATCAAGGTGAAGTAGGTCGTGGTCAAGAGGAAGCATAGGGATGGCCGCAGCGCGCGGAAAGTTGTCGGGTTTGGATAAACGCGGTCAGATGACTTCCCCCCTCGCACTTTTGCTTAAGCGCTCAGATGCGGTCCTTGTAGTAGTATGATGTCCGAGTGTGCAACGGCGTCGTGCCAGTATAATAGATCATCTATAATCTTACATACCCTACTTGATATTGAAGACCAAGTGTGGAGACAGACGCGGGTCTTACACTAGCTGAGGGGCGCCTTTGCATGACGTGCCTTCCCTGCTGCCGGCGTCGATCCATTTTGGCACCGGTCGTTATCTCGGCTATATTTCTTGTCTGCGATAGCTCTCATCAAACGCGCGGACCACGGATGATACATATGAATGGTCATCGCGTAAGCTTATGAGTAGGTACAAAAGCTGCGAAAGAGCCTACTATCGCAGTACCGAGTGTTAGAAGAAGTATGTACACTATATGTATATCCGCAACGAAAGGTATAAGGGTCCAATGGATCCAGTGCGTAGAAGAATGACGAGTATAGGAAGAAGGCGCAAGGCAATCGGGAAGTGGAGCTGCCGTCTCAGCAGTAGCATGACCGCGTCGCTACTCTACTCCTCTTTCTTGGCCTTGGACCATCCATGGCCCAGACCCATAAGACGATGTCCCTTCGGCAAGATGAGATCGCGGCTTTGCGCTTTGACGGTCATCCAGCTCCCGAGGACGATGCCCCACGGCCAGAACCATGGTGCGCCGAAGGTCATAACGCCTCGGTCCTATGAGGCGCGAATCAGCGTTCTACACGAAGCCCACTTGATATGGACAACTTACGCTGCCAATGCTCACTCTCAGAGTCTCTATGCTTCCGCTGTATGTGCTGCTGGGTTCGGAACCTGCGAGACGGGCGAGCAGGTTTGGCACCACGGCGCGTGCGTGGCGCGGGTACTTGCCCAGGCGGTTGCGCTCCGCGTTCGATACAGCATCGCCGACGCAGAAGATGCCTACACCGCGACAGCACATCAACACAGACTCAGCCTTCCACTTGGGAAAGCGTACCAGGATAATCAATGAGCTCCAACGTGTCTCGAACCCGAATCTGTCCGTACTTGTCGAGCGCACTTTCGCCCAAGCTTGCAGCGAACTGCGTATTGGGTGTACCTCCATGCGCGGTGATCTAATCTCAAGCATGAGAAGTCGCCTGTGTTGAGACAGATAGATACATACAATGAGATCAGCGCGTAGCTGTTGCCCCTTCCGCGTCGTTACATGTCCATCATGTGGCTCCGCCTCATCAAGATAGTCCTCTAACACGAACTCGATCCCAGCCTCGCGCGCCTCCGACAAGATGCGGGACCGAAAGCTATCGGGGTAAGCGTTGGTGAAGGGAAGATTGCGGGACTGGACGATCGTAGTGCTTTTCTCCTACAGAACGCGCAACAGGGGAAAATGTCAGCTGACCGCGTTTTATTCCAGAGAAATCATCAGCGCGAAAACGCACCGGGAAATACTCCTTGATCTCGCCCGCGAGCTCGACGCTGACCGGCCCTCCACCAGAGAATACAATATGTTGCGCCTCCTTGATCTTATTGCGCCATTCGTTGGTGTACGCGCGCACATCGTCCTCCGTGTCGGGGTAGTCGAGCGGGCTTGCGAGTTTGGTGCCGGGCGCGAGCACGAGGACGTCGTAGTGTAGGCGCTCGCCGCTCTTGAGCACGACGTGGCCGCCTGGAGCCTTTGTGGAGCCGGAGGGTGCCGAGGATGGTTCGATGGATGTGACGGTGTCGACTACGAGTTTGCCTTTGTCGCCCAGGAGGTTGTCGAATGGCAGGAGCACGCGGTCTTCAAGGTTGCCATGGTCCGTCACGGCCATGCGCACCTATCCGGCTGTCAGAATACATTATGGAATATAAACCAGAGATAATGCACCGTCGTAGGCAAGAATAAATGGAAAGGACGCGCATTGACGAGCGTGAGGCGGTGGTTGGCATTCAACTTGGGCAGCAGCTGGCGCACGAGGATCGAACCCGCACCACCACCACCGACGACGACGATGTCTTGAACCTGGTTCTGCTCGGACATTGTATGTGTGTGTTGTAGAGATAACTGCGGAGTACAAGCGAGCAAGAGGGACTATATATGTTGGTGTGGCGGTCCAAATCACGCGTGCCGACGGAACGCGTCGTTGGCATCGCTGCTGCGCCGCCGCGCGCGCTTGTTCATACACTGCGCCGAACACTCCGGA